CCCAGAGAGGGCACTCTACCCTTTTCCGGCTCAAGACCATGGCCTCGATGATTTACATATATAATATTAATTTAACTGTTAATGAGGTGTCTGTGAACTATGACTATCATTTACCGAGGTCGTCTTTTATTTTACTGGGACGTTTTCAAAGTTTTTGCATTAAACACAAATATTAATATTGACAATACAAAAATGCAACTTTAAGTGGTTTATTTAAAACAATATAGTTCTTCTTGTTGCTTTTACAAATAGAAATATGTTAATACGCAGGAGTCCAGAACTAATAAACTACAGGAATACATAATAAGGTGCATATCTTTTTCTTTTTGTTTATGAAATCAGTGAAAACTGAGTGCATACTAAATACTTCAATAAAGTTTTTATCTTCATTTATTTTGTTAAAGTGCTTATGTTCAATAACTTGCATTACTTTTGCTCTTTTTGCTGGAAAAGTGAACTAAGAACTACAGAAAGTCTCTCCTATCTGTGCCAACTCCATTTTTATCATTTAGTTCTGGATTGAGTTTTATAAAAGTTTTTTACTTAGACTAAACACACAATGTTGTTCCAAAAGTCACATAAGATTTAAGATTGTCATTTGAAATAAATAAAGCCATAATGTGGGTTTCAGATGTGCCGTGACTCGTCCAGGATGACTGCAGCGTGAACACAGGTCGCCTCTGTGAACTTCTTCAGACATCTTATACGATATGAAGAAATCTTAAATCCAGAGTTCTGCTCATAAAAAATAAATAATCTATAAAATTAAGCACACACACACTGTCCTGATGATGTTTTACATCCTGGTAGTTCAGCCTCAAAGGGACTGAAATATGATTAGAGTTAGAAGATGACAATTTTGCCAGAAGTTTCCACCCCAGCATGTTCACTGTCCATAAAACAACAGAAAACAGTTCTTATTTGAAAAATGTGAAAACCTCTAAAGAATAAAAGTTAATAGTTAAATGTATGACTTGTAAAGTTTCACCTGAACAAACGTCAGCACTTCTGGAACATTGTTCTTTGGACTGAAGAGACTGAGATGTTTGGTCATGAGGCAGAGCACTTTTGGAGAAAAAGCACATCAGCGTAATGCACTGCTCCACCTGTCAGGTGGTGGAGAGCTGATGATTCGGGTGCGTTTTGCAGCCACAGAACATAGAGCCATTGAGTCAACCACACTCAAAGTGTTTGTGTAAAATGTGAAGCCATTTAAGAGCTGAAGCTTGACTGAGCCTGAACAGACCATCATGGCTGCAGCAGCCAAACAAATAACCCAAACATCAAAATGACTGAAGCTGTGGAGGAGAGTTTAAAGAGCTGTGGAGAAATTATTGCTTACAGCCTACAATAAATGAGGCAAAGCTGTAAAGTGGACTGAAATCCACCTCATGCAAGAGACTGATGAGGTCATGTTCTCACATCCAAATATAGGGGACTTTAGTTTCCATGTTTTTCTTGCATTCTGCCTTAACTTTGATCAAACATGGACATAATGTACTCCATCATGTGTTCATTTATGGGTTTTTTATCTCCCTCATACTGAAACCTGATGAAGACCATAAAGATTTCACTAGAGGTTAATAAGTAAACGTCTAGATTTTAAAGGATGGCTCTGTTGACTACATTTGCCTCTGTATGTGCAACGATAAATCGTCAATTTTTTTGCAGCCCCCATGCGATGAAGCTCTAAAGTGTGTCAGGTTATTTATTTATTTATTTAATTATTTCTATAGCACTTTACACAACCATGGTGATGGTGACCAAAGTGCTTAACAAAAAACAGTACTTAAAATGACAATAGGTTAAAAGCAAGAAAACACAACATAATAGCACAAATAAAACCAGAAATGTCACCACATATTTACGTACTAAAAGCTTGTTGGAATAAAAAAGTCTTAAGCTTCGATTTAAAAAGGCCAAGTTCAGTAATCTGACGCAGATCAAGTGGGAGCTTATTCCAGAGTCGAGGTGCGGCCGCAGAAAAGGCACGGTCACCCCAGCGTTTATATTTAGTCCTTGGAACAGAGAGCAGGAGCTGTCTGACCTCAAAGATCTGGAGCGGGCGGGGAAACTTAGCATCTCAGTTATATAAGGAGGAGCAAGGCCATTCAGAGCTTTAAAAACAAATAATAAAAGTTTAAAATCTATTCTAAAAGGGACAGGGAGCCAATGTAGTGAGAATAAAACAGGTGTGTAGTGAGTCACGTGGGTACGTGTCACTAGTTGTAGTATGACAATATATGAGATATATGCATACAATATTCACGAGTTCCTCATCTTTCTGACTGTGTAATGTCGTGCATTGAATTTTAACAGAAATGCGAACGAGAGACGTTATTATCTTTGACCCATCAAATGAATGTGGTCATTTATTTTCAGAATCAAAGTTTAACATCAAACATTTACATTAATTTGGCAAAAATGAAAATAATAACAGACAAGTTTCACAGAAAATGAGCATCGATCACTCGGCGGTGAACGAGGACTTTGCTTCAGATATTTCTAAAATATCTGTACTGGTTTTGTGAGAGAGAGAAGAGTTTAAGATGAAATGGAGATTTATCTTACAGAGAACTATGTGAGGGAATTAATATCTGTAGACCAGAACGTGCACGCTTCATCAGATCTCAGCTCGCCTCCGGTACACTTTAGTCGAAGAAGAGACCGTTACCTGGTTGATGATAGATCAGCTCGATAGAAAATCCTCCAGACCTTTCAGCGTCTCCGTTGAGAGCTGCTGAAATCCTTAGATAGTCGTGCGTGGGTTGTTCAAACAGAAGTTATAATTCCAAACGTCTCTGACTCTCCTGAATTCTCGAATTCTCTTCCATTCACTTCACCATTCTCCATGAATTCTCCATGAATTCTAACAAATTCTAACCTGAACTGGGAAGTTGCCACATTTTAAATGGGTCGACTTCCGGTTCAATTTAGAGCTTTCTGATTCGTGGATGTACCAGAAAGAGGTGTGTTTTTTGACGTAAGGTATTATCAAAAGTCGAGGTCAGGGAATGAATTTGTTTTCAACATACAGAAAAGATTATTGCAGAATACCAGACTTTTTGGAGCCTCACTCTGTTGTATCTTTCCAAATAGTAAAACATGACATCCCATTTTCAGTAAACATTTAGTTGACCGAAGCTTCAACTTTCACATACTTACGACAGCTTGCTCATTGAAGACAGAAAATCAAGAAATACATATTAACCTGATTTCTTCTTTGAATGAGGAATAAAAATCATTACTTACTGTTTATGTAAAATAAAATGAGTAGTTCTTTTTCAACCTGTAAGCATTGAATGGAACTAACACAATTTGATTATCAAACATTTGTAAAACAGTAATGATTATAGAGGATTGTCTTTTCTGCTTGATTAATTCAAGAAAGAAAGTCATCAGATGGCTCAGACTTATTTAGATCAATGAAAATAACAGTCTCTGTCCATCTGATAGATTTGAGGTCATCAGGGTCAGATCAGGGCCAGATCAGGTTCACTACAGTCCCCCCTTTGGAAATCATCACCTGTCCATGGGGATGAATTCCAACCGTGAACTTAGACCTTCAAATGTCCTTGAGCTTGATGTAATCCAGCACGGAAGACCAAAGTCAGAAGTAATCCAGCAAGGAAACAAAGTCAAGGTAATTCCACAATGTTCTTGGTATTCCATTGTGTTGATTATAATCCCATATCGTCTCGATAATTCCATTGTAGCAATGCTTTAACCCCTTGGAAACAGAGTCTGTAATCCATTGGAAAAAGTCATATAATCCACAACGGTAAATCCACAGCGATTGGAAGTGTTGATTAATCAGCATACAGAGGGGTACCCTTGGGTTGAACTGAAGAAGCGGCCACTGGATGAAGAGTGGAGACCAACGTCAGGATTGCAGGTCGCCTCCAGCGAAGGTTGTCTCCAGCGACGTCCA